TGGGGAATTCTGGGAGTTGAAGTCCACTCATCTTAAAGTGGCCAAGTTTGGACAACACTCGGTTAAGCAAAAGGACAAAGCTGTTGTACCAAGGCAGATAGGCATAAAAGCCAGAAGATTTGGGAGACAGGAGGGTTGAGAGTCCTCAGGGGTTGAGCTCTTGCCATTTCAAACAGGTACATGAACTACACTGGTGAGGAGATTGTAGTTCTTGTTCTTCCAGTCAAGTGTCCGTTTTTGTCAACAATTGGAAGGAGTGAACCAGTAATATTTAGCAGTTAGTGAATCCTCCATCATTCCATAAACATAGGATGGTCTAATTCCATAATAGAGTAGTGTAAGATGAACAAAAATAAAATTTCTACCAGTCTGTTGTAACTGTTTCTGCACAAACCCATTTGAACTTCAGTAGTGGGTGGTAATTTGGCCAGGATGATTTTTTTTTTTTTAATGTTAAGGTATTAGTCAAATTGCTCATTTAGAACAACAGAGTACATGAACTAGCACAAGGTTACTTCACCAGTTGAACAGCAGAAAGTTATTAAATCTGATCAAAATACTTACTGCTATATCTTCCTACAACTGGATCCAGATCTGCCAACTGACTTTATGAAGAGTGCAGTTTTGGATCTGTAATGTACAGTTCATAGTAAAATTATACATTTCAAAGTAGGACCAAAAATTCCTTAGTTCCTCTTCTTGCCACCTCTTCATTTGATATTATACTTACATTCTATTCCTTAGATATGATGAATCTCAGATATTTAGTCTTTGGGAGTATTAGATAGGATGCAAGGAGCAGGGAGTCCATTTATCGGTTTGTACTGTGTACTTAAAATATTGTGGTGGTATATCAATCAACCTAAGCTGTTTAAAATTCTAAGTCTACTATTTTACATTTGCATGCTGTGGTTCTGCAGGTTGCCATGTTGATATTGCTGAATGTATTAAGTAGCAGGCAAAGTATTGGAGATCTCACATAGGCTTGGAAGTAACTGAGTTAATAACAATCATCTCCCTCAAACATTTATTGTGCAAAGGGTGCTCCACATGTCAAAGAATCTGTAGGGACACATTTTGCCCATATATCTGCAGAAGAAAATAGTACATGTAAAGACTTCAAAGAAATTGGTAACTTTAATAGTACACAACTCTCAATCCCAAGGAAGTTCATATGAATAGAGGTCTATGTGTATAGAATTCTCTTTTGCAGATATGTGGACACCAGAGCTCAGGAAGCCCCACTTCAGCACATGGATTTCTCTTCATGTGAGTAACATATGAAGCAGGTTAAGGTAATAAAACATTGCAAAAAATCTGGGATGCAAATAATGTCAAATGCCATCGTGCTTTGAAAACGTATCTTGTGTATTATTATTAGTAGTAGTAGTATTTTGCTTGACACTTGGGTAGTAATTATGTCAGGTTTAGCCCAAAGAACTCCAAGAGACAATGCAAATACAGTTCTGTTGCGTTTATTAGCTACAGAAAATCTCCCCAGACTCAACCCTAGTTCCCAAGCCAGCCAGCCAGCCACAACACCGTGAATTCCTTAAGGAGGTGCCAGCCTCATCTTCTTGAACT